GCATTTTATTCCCTTTCCTTTCTCCTGATCTCACTCTTTTCTTGAAAGCCTTTGCCAAACGCAGTAAAGAGCCATGGGTCACTAACCTTCTGGATCCTCAGAGCTACATGCTCACTAGCACATAGGCGCCATTTTAAGTTATCACAGGAAAGTTTTGCCAGTTCACAATATGGATCCCAACCTCTTGAGCCTCCAATAGTTTCATCACCACTCACTACCCCATAGTCAATGCCACGCATTTTAGGGTTTTTTTGACAGCAGTGCTCCACTTCAGAGTATTAATTTTCATGAGTTCAGGTTAGCCACTGAAGCAAGCAAATTCTAAAATGCCTAATGACTGGCACACTGTTGCTCATGACTGTGCTGGCTGGATCCAGGATAGTAGGGGAGGACACTCCAGAGTCATTCAGGGACCCAGGATGACAGAGGCTCTGTCACCTCCAAGGACACCAGTCTTGTCCACTGGGTCAGTGTTAGTGGAAGGAGCACAGCAGATCCAGAAACAGTTTTCTTAGGGCCAAGTCTGGAAGTGTTTGATCACTTCAGCTCTTAATCCATTGATTAAAACTGAGGCCCATGGTCACACCTAACTTCAAGGGGCTGGGAGATGTGATTTGGCTGTGTCCAAGTAAAAGAGGAAATGGGATCTAGTTTGCCTGGGACTTTCCTCATGTTAGCATTGTAAGTCCCACTTCCCAGGAATTCCCTCAGTCCCGGGCTGGTACAGACTGTACCATTGGCCATCATTACATCTGCTTTCTTCTTAAGGAAACTAAATCTGTTTTCTTGGTCTCCTAGTCTGCAGTAACTACCAACCACTATCAGAGTATGAACTGAATGCACTTGACACAATAGGGCAGATTACTTTAATTGGAATATGTTATTCCTGGAAATTTGAGGCATCTGAGATACAACCTTGTAGCACATACATTTGCAAACACTGTCTTTGTCCCTAAATGAGTCAGCTATAAAATGTAGTGAAGTTTATACCACCATGAGCAAATGCTACTAACTTAACAAGTGTTTTTAAAGAACTCTCAGAAATAATCTTGCCGAAGGATTCATCCAAGAAGGAATTTAGAATTATTGTTATTATATCACATAAGGCAAGCAAATTTCACCAGAAAACAAAGTACCTCATTTATCTTGAAGGCAGCTCCTGGGGCTGCCCTTGAGGACAGAGACAGTGTGGCTTGTTCACTATACTATCTCTGGCACTCAATAAAGTAACACATAGCTTTTTTACCAGAGAGCCTGTGCCCACATTCTCTAATCAAAAAGGTTGTTTTGTGCCCTGGCCGTTGTGACTCAGTTGGTTGAGCTTCGTCCCATGCCCGGAGAGGTCACCAGCTTGATGCCCGGTTTGCAGCGATCCCTAGTGGGAGACATGCAGGAGACAGCCTATCGATGTTTCTCTCTCATCAATGTTTCTCTCTCCCTCTCCTTTGCTCTCGAAAATCAATAAAAACCTTTCTATAATAACAAAAGGGCAATATGCTAATTAGACCGGACATCCTTCCGGATGTCCTTCCTGATGAAGCTGGGGCCGGAGGGAAGCCAGCCCGGGTCCTGGGTGCTGGAGGGAAGCCATTGCCAGCAGCTGGGGGAAGGAAGGCCTACTCTTGCACAAATTTTCATGCATTGGGCCTCTAGTGTGTGTGTGTGTGTGTGTGTGTGTGTGTGTGTGTGTGTGTGTATGTATATATATATTTGTTTCATTTTGTTTTGTGCTGAACCGTAAGTAGCCATTGAGGACTTGAGTCTGGTTGTTGAGACAAATATAGAAAGCAGGGAGTGGAAACTTCAGGACTGTGAGCCAAATCAGCATAGTAGGTGTGCTTTTGTTTGGTCTGCATCGTCTCCAACAATCAGAAATTTTCAGATAGAGCCTGGATCTTGAAAAATGGGAAGATCTGGCAACACCATGCTTGAATTCCCACAGAGCAACAATTGAATGAAGCTAAGTAGCAACTGGTCCTATTAGTCTGGGAACGGAGCATACACCCTCCAACTGCCACATTCATGACCACTTCCTGTTGTCTCACTCTCTCTGACCCAAGGAACTTCTGTTATATCCCATAGACATGTTTCCAAAACACCTGGATTGAAGCACAGGTTTATACTGTAATATTGTAGTAATTTTGCACATTTTAAAATGGCCACTGAACCTTCCAATAGCTGTTGATAAATAAGGCCTGATTACTAATCACAGACTTTGGGCCTGCCTGGCATTTCATAGCACTGTGTTTACATAGTTTTTTTCCATAAGAAATAACTTCAGTTTCTCTGCCTGTTTCTAATCTTTAATGTCATACTGCTGTTGAAAAGCAGTTGTGTTGCCAGGCCCCTAGTAGCTCCAACTACTTATTTTGCATAAAGCAAGGGCAGAGTAGTGTTTATTGAAATAAATGTTCATTTTTAATTTGTTATAATTAACTTTTACACATTTCTTATGTAAATTTCAAATTAATTCTGGCATTGCATATTCATCACATAATGAAAAGTAAATTTTTGCTTTAAAAGTATGCAAAAAAATACAGAATTGCTGAGTTATGAACATTGTTAATTTGAAACAAATCAGACATTCATTCAAATCATGTAAAATTCTGTTTCTCCGTCACTGATCAGCAGTCTCTCCTGCTGCAATTGCTGATGTCACGAACACCCAGCACTGGTACAACATTCTATTCCTGTTAAATCTTTCCTGCTCCACTGAACATTAAGTGTGATGCACTCAATTATGTAATAACTCACAGACCAACAAAGGCCTAATCACGTCTGTAAACAAGTAGTAAAATGCCTTTTTAAATTACCTTAAACATCCTGAAATATAAGTCAATCACTTAAAGCAGCAATGTGCTTTAAGGATTTTTAAAACATGCAATACCTATTTACTCAGGGGCACTCACCTCTTTTCCCTTAGGTTGTCAAATAAAAAAATGGCAACAGCCAACACAACAATAGCTGTCTGGTGTGAGTGAATCAAAATCATAACTATTTTTTGTCACATCAGCAAAAAATGTTTTTATGTATACCACAGAATTTTTATAATTAGTTTATATGTGCCCCAAGATGAAAAACGTTGAAAATTTCTGACTTAAGCATGTTTAGTGATTACTAAAATGAACATATATGGAAAAACACATTTTGATTTTAACTCATTCTTATTTCACATACAATATTCAGCTCCAAAACGTCACAGGAGTGCCACATTTTATTTGTGTTGTCTTTTTAATATATTTTTATAGATTTTATAGAGAGAGGAAGAGATAGAAACATTGATGAGAGAGAACCATCACTGGCTGCCTTCTGCACACCCTCTACTGGGGATCAAGCAGGAAACTTGGGCATGTGCTCTGACAGGGAATCAAACCAGCGACCTCTCAGTGCATGGGATAGCGCTGATCCACCGAGCCAGGCAGGAGTACCACGTTTTAAATAAAAAGGCCCAAATTCCGTTAAATAACCTAGAAGAACGTTCTTCGTTATCTGAATGACACGTTGACATAAAATTTTACAAATTTTCCACAATTACCACCTTTGGCATTGAGGATCTTCATTGAAAATATAAAGATAAAATGAGTAGAGATTTTATTCACTACAGTTTTCTTTTTAAAGGAAATATAATTATTACATAAATATCCCTTTAAGCCAAAGTTATATAATCTTTAAATTAATATGACAACGATTTTTTTAAGTCCTCTCCAATTTCCCTAGACCATTGCCACCGGCTTATGGTAATCAGCAGTTACTGTTCACCATGAGCTCTGTGTGGCCACACTAGTCACTTTGAGCTTTATAACACACACACACACACACACACCGCCCATTTCTTTTCAGGGAACTCTGATGTTCCATTCGCCTGTCCATCTCCCAACAGCACTACATTAGAGAATGAAGGATTCAGAAAAATTAAGTCCTTGTTCTGCAAATCCTTAAGTAGGCTTAGAGCTCAGGAATGCCGATTCCCATTGGGTGGAAGGGGCATGGGAAGGGGCCATTGCTGAGGTCCTTAGGCAGATTACAGAGCTGGTAAATCCAGCCTGTTTAATGTGACAGGAGCTGACATTGCTCCTAGAACAGAGTGGGACCCCTCAGGCTCACCTCTCAGGTGCCCATTTGCTTTAGGTTTCTAAATTTTACATTTTGACCTATTTTATAGTCTTAAGGAATCAACTGGGATACCCTTGTTCATCTAGACCAGTGATGGCGAATCTTTTGAGCTCGGTGTGTCAGCATTTTGAAAAACCCTAACTTAACTCTGGTGCCGTGTCACATATAGAAATTTTTTGATCTTTGCAACCATAGTAAAACAAAGACTTATATTTTTGATATTTATTTTATATATTTAAGTGCCATTTAACAAAGAAAAATCAACCAAAAAAATGAGTTTGCGTGTCACCTCTGACACGCGTGTCATAGGTTCGCCATCACTGCTCTAGACCCACTTCAAATGCAGTAGAGGAAACCTGTCTTTTGCTTGGACATTCCCAGGAGATAGAACCTCAATCCACAATAGGAAAGACATCCCAACTCAGGGTGTTCTTAAAGTGGAAACTAGCTTCTCTAACTTCCATCTTTTGATCCTAAAGCTGCTTAGTGGGATTATATATAGAATAAGGCTCATTCCCCTCAGCTGGTGAACACTGGAAGATTACGACTTTCATGGACTCCTAGAAATTTAAAGCCACAGAGGAACTTAGAGACTATTTCTTTCAATACCCCACATCAGTCCTGAGAGGTGAAGCCATTTGTTCAGGTCACACTAGTCTGAAGAACTAAGCTCCTGTCTCCCTTCACTATGTCTCTCTACCCATACTGGCTGAAATAATGCAATGTCTATGTCTTTTTACTTCTATAGGCAAACCACTAGCACTCCCACTTTGCCCAACCTTTTTATCCTTCTTCAAGATTTCACTAGTCAAATTGTTTTAACTTTAGCTAGAAATAGTTGTGGAAATGATCGCAATTATGTTAACACTGTAATATGAAAACACTTGTTTATCAACATTTTATATGCTTTATTGAAAGTTGACAAGTGCAACAGTTAAATACAGTGACACCTTACAACTGTGTAGAGAACATGCACAGAAACATATGCATTTAACTACTATACAGGTAATAGGTAGAACACCCTACTGGGAAATTCATCTCATTAGCTAAAACTGATCATTTTTCAAAGTATTCAACCAGCTCAATCAAAACACTTCAGTGAACAGGAATTTACTTCAAGATATTCAGCAGCTATAAGATTTCAGATTACACAAAGTGACTAACTGGGCCAAATTCTTAAAATTTCTTTAGGTGTGGTTTTCTTCACGTAGCATTTTTAATGTAATCTCTATTAAAGACAATCCACACCTCTTCAGACAGCCAATGAAACATCTAAATTTCAATCTGTACAACCTAAATAGTAGTTAGTCCTCTATTGTACAAAATAGTTATACTACATACACAAATATATAATAAGCAAAACATCCTTCATGGTAAGATAGCCTAGGTCCCAGCTACCTGTCACCTTTTAGTCACTCTAATAGTTTTGTGTCATCCACTGTTTCAGCAAGAGGCACACAGTACAGTTGTTTTTTATGGATTTTGGTGACAATCAATGAACTGTTTCCCCTCATGTTAGAAGAGACTATGCACCAGTCTTTCCTTTTACCTCCCTTTCAAGTTCCTCATGGGGAGAAGAGGAGAGAGGACAGTCCAGTGGAGCTCCACTGCTCCGAAGGCCCATGTTGTACACTATGTGCAAGCAGGAGAACTCCTGAAAGTGAGGGCAGGGAGCAGGGAAGGGGTGGAAAGGCACACAGCTCCTCAGCATGAATTAAACCATTTCTCAAACATCTGCCAAGCTGCATGAGGTCCCAGTATATCCATGCTAATTCTCTTATTCACCTTTAATTCACCCAACTAAGAAATTTCTTCAAGCCAAAAGCACTGGGTGTTTAATACTGGAAAAAAGAGATAATGGCATATATCAGTCTCACGTCTCTTTTGCAGCGAGCAATGAAATGGGTGGTTGTGGAGGTGGATTCCCCCTAGTACATCATCTCGGGTCTGTTGAGTTCAGACAGCAGCAGCCAGTTCTGCAGGGGGCATAGGAGGCTATGCAGTTGGTCCTGAGCCCTGGGAGGCTGGCTGGGCCGGGGGCTGTGTGGTCCCCTGCGGCTGTGTGGTGGCAGGGGGGGAGCCAGTCTGCAGCTGGGCCTGAAACTGGGCAAGCTGCTCAGGACTGGCCAGTGTCTTCAGCAAATTGTTTTCCTGCTCCAGCTGGGAATTTTTCTCTATTAGTTCTTTGATTTGCTCTTTGAGGACCTCCACTTCCTCTCTAACCGCATACATCAAATGGCTTTTCACCAGATCCTGAAAGGGAGAGGAAAAAAAGGGTTTAACTTCCTACTTACTATTTCCCAGACTCTGTATTTCTAAAGTATTACTTTGCCTGGTTCTCCTACTCATTTACATAACCTGCCTTTATTGTTCATTTAATGGCAAGGGGAAAATCTACTGAATGCAATCACAACAGTTCAATACTTAAGTTTAATGTGTAACTGATGAACTTTTTAAGTCTATGCTCTTTTTGCAGCCCTTAGCCAACCACGCAAACAATCACGTTTCCTATTTGAGGTGGCACTATGCACAGGGCTCCGAGTCGCCAAGCAGGAGCCGCCGCAGGGATGTCCAGGCCACTTCCCCGCCCCCAAGTCCCTCCGCCCTCCGCCGCCACCAGACCGACCGCCTCCCTCAGCACCGGCTGCAGCCAGTTCCTACAGAGCAAGTTGCCGCATTTTCCTCCCTCCACCCTCACCCCCCCTCCCTTTCGTGATTAAGCTGACATCACAGAAACCTGAGCAGACGTTGCAGCCAATGAGAGCTCGATTTATTTATAGCTCCGAATTAAAAGGTTCAGAGTTTGCCTAGCAACAGTGGGCAGAGAATCCCGTGAGAAGAGCCACAGGCGCTGCTCCAATAACAAAGAACGGCCAAGGCGGAAATAAAAAATAGGAGAAATCCAAGCGCAGGCTGGGAAGACAAAACTTTTTTCGGATCCGTCTTCATTGTGCAGTCACCTGTGTCCCTGGAGCCCATCTGTGCCCAGTCCACAAGGCCCCTTCTAGAGATCCTCACTCCTGGGGTCTCCGCCCCACCCGGATCCCCAGTGAACCTTAGGATTTCTAGTAAAGCCACATCCCTAGAGATGCGCTCCCGACCGAAGGACACGCAGGGCCAAGCACTTCCCTAGCAATTCCCCGGCAAAAGGGAACCTCTGCACAGATCCCGAGGTGGGAGAGAGCGGTCTTGGAAAGAACAGTCAATACTCAGCGCCCCCTTCTCTCTCCAAAGCAGCCTTGGTTCGCGGCTTCGCCCTGGCAGAATGGAGGCAGTGCAGGCATTTCTGAATGTATGAAGAGCAACCATCATCTTAACTACGAATGCACTGGTTCCATCCTAAGACATCTCGTTTTTTTGTACTGTGCCCACATTAGTACAAATGATTTGTAATCAGTACATACCATAGCTTGCTCGATTTTGTTGTCAATAGCTACCACACTTGCACCAGAGGAGCTGGAAAAAAAAAGGGGGAGGGGATCAATAAATGGAATTATCTTAAACGTCCAACAAATACACAAAAGGATTTCCTAATTCTGTGATGTTTATAGCATCATTTTTGAAATATTCTTTAAGGCTATGTAATTATATTATCCTCCAGAAAAACATAAGTCACTCTCTTAATAACGAATATCCAGACATTTCCCTATTTTAGTGAGCCACAAAGGGCTAAATTACATAATGTGCCAAAAGCCCGTTCTCTGGCCAGGCTGGCGAAAAGAAGGCTATTCTAAACATTGCAAAAAGCAACATCCATGTCACCAGATCTCTCAGCAATGGACAAAGGAATTTGCCGGGCTATCTTTCACCTGCATTATTACAAGTACCTCGAGTAAATTTTAAAAAACTATCCCAGCCGACATTTACCTATTGTCAAGTCTCACAGAGGCGTTTTCAGTCCCCAGCAAGGATGACAAGAAAGAAATTGAGAAATGTCTCAGTTGGTAAACTCCTAGATCCATCGCCACTGGTCTACACCATTGGGATTTCATGCAATTGCAGCCAAAAACACCCTCGCGGCCAAAAAAAAGAAAAAGAAAAAAAAAAAAAGAGGGAATATCAGCAGCCTGTCTGAGCTAGGTAAAAATCTTCTAGCTCTCTCTGCTGCCAGGGAGAAATAGAGAACTGCTGCCCTAATTTACAGAGACCCGGCTTCTGGGGCTGGCGATCCAGGGGAGATGCCGATCACAGGGCTGTGCTGAGAAGACTCTCAGGTCGGCGGCCGGGCTCCACTAGGATCTAGACCAGGGCTCTGGTCTCGGTGCAAAATATATTCAGGGAAGAGCCGCGCCAATTGGCCAGCGCGCCAATGGAGCCGCCCCTTCTCCCTGCTCCAGGCTCCCTTCCCCGCCCTCCTCCCCGCTCTGCTGCCTTCCCCCCATCCCCCGCCCCCAGCCTCCCGATCCCGCTCATCGGGTGGGCTGGCCAAGGCCGCACTCGCGGGGGCCCGGGTGCGGGGCCTCCGAGCCTCCACTGCTTCCAAAAGCCGGACCACTGCTTCGGCAAAAACGTCCAGAAATCCGAAAAAATACGATCAGGGCCCCGCACGTGCTTACGTTTATGGAAGTCAGACCCCGTCCCTGGAGCTGCCTGTCCCCGCGGCTGCAGATCGGCAAAAGCTTCCTATTTGCAACCAGAACCGTCTGAGCTACTGGGCATGCCCAGTCCCACTGCTAAGACTTGCAGGAGCTCCAGTGTCTCGATTTCAATTATCTAGTTCTTACAGGCAGCAGTAACGGGAGGATTTTACAGGCGGTTTTATTTATAAAGATGATAACCCTGCTGTAATAATACTTCTGTTTAAAGCCAGTGAATTTTACACTGGATCTTAGAGTGAAAAAAAATCACTTGCTTTTTGAGAAATACTACCTTTCCGTGAATTTATTACTTGTAGAAACAAAAAACATTACATCGTCAGCTAGGCACATATATATTGAAGCAAAAAGTAATCTAACAGATAAAATCAAGGGGATCCTCCCCAAATATCCCTAAAGCGGGAAGCCTTAACATAGCCATCACTTCTTTTTCTACTTATAGCTAGAAAAATCAATCTACAGGTTGAATCCTTCTTAGATCTGTTTTCAGTAAGTCCCTAAGGCAAATTTTTGGAGTTTAATGGCTATTTTTATAAGCTCAATCCTACAGAGGGGCTGAGGAACAGTAAAATATGTATTTCACCTTTTTGGCCACAATGACCAAATAATTCCCTTCTCCAAACTCAAATCAAGAGATCTGGTGTAAAATAGCTTAACCCGTTATATATGTCCTCTATTAACTTGAAATATTCAGGGATGCATCATTTGCGGTAACAATTTAATAATACTGAAAATTAAAGACCTTAAATTTGCTTACTATAAATTATAAAGTTTGCAACTCAATACAGTTAAAAAGGCAAATTTAACCTCGACAATACTGCCCTCTAATGGCATAATAGTATAAAACCAGAAACCAAAAAACACTAGCTTTCTAATCCATACACAAGTTGTGTCATCACAAATAATTCCAACATAAAATTTGACTATGGAACATGTTATAGTCACACACACACACACACACACACACACACACACACACAGTCTTGTCTTTTCTCTCTCAAACAAGCATTCTCCCTCAAGCAGCATCCTTTTAATTTAAAACATTTTAATTGCCATCATAGCCTTTCAGACATTCTTTTAAATTGACCCAATACTAGCAAGGAGCATTTGGTTTTAAAAACTGTACACAGTGATTAGGAACCAAATCTGGTGAATGTGGTAGGTGATGGAAAGGGCAACTCTCTTTTCGGTTAAAAACTAAAGTATGATTGACTATAAAGCAATAACATTTTTTATTTTAAGCTTCACATTATTCTCCAAATTTCAAACCTTTGTTTTTTAATAACAAGGAAAATCTGTTAGCATATTTATATTTTATAAAAATTAATATGTATCTCATGATAGAAATTTATTTGAGGAAGGTACCCATTTTTAGTAAAAAAAAAAAAACACAGAGTAAGTGGAAGCTTAAAAATCATAACTTGAGGAACAGGCATATGGTCCCTATATCTATGAATGCTAGACAGAATTATTACTTTAAAGGTTAAAGTTATCACTAAAACTACCTATAATTAAGTTTATTTACATATTTGAACTGCACAGGAAAAATTAAAGCATCATCTTAAGCTAGAGATTAACCAAAGAACTTATATGCATAACCCATGGATAGACAATAATGTGGTGAAGACCTGGGGAGGGGATGGGAGTAGGATGGAGGGGCCAATGGGGGAAAAAGGGGGGACATCTGTAATACTTTCAACAATAAAGATAAATTTAAAAGAATAAAAATTAAAAAGCTGAAAAAAACACAACACCTTAAAGCAGCGGTTCTCAACCTGTGTGTCGCGACCCCTTTGGGGGTCGAACGACCCTTTCACATGGGTCGCCTAAGACCATCGGAAAACACATATATAATTACATATTGTTTTTGTGATTAATCACTATGCTTTAATTATGTTCAATCTGTAACAATGAAAATACATCCTGCATATCAGATATTTACGATTCATAACAGTAGCAAAATTACAGTTATGAAGTAGCAACGAAAATAATTTTATGGTTGGGGGTCACCACAACATGAGGAACTGTATTAAAGGGTTGCAGCATTAGGAAGGTTGAGAACCACTGCCTTAAAGTCATCTATAAAAATAAACTTAAAATTCCCAGCTGAAGTTTAAATTACTGAATTAACTGAATTTTATTTATTCATGATGTTCTTAAAAACAAACAAAAATGTTTTGTTTTTCATTTAATTCATTTCAACTGATCTTCCATTGTATTAAGCTATAGAAGCCAAAATACAAGCATGTTTAATCCATATATCTTATAGTCATCTCCAATATTTTGCTATTTTAAGTAAAATTGCAAGAAATGTCTTTGTACATACATCCTTGAACATTTGTGTATATACTTCTGGAATATTTGCAGGGCCAAAAGATATGCAATAGAAAGGATTAGAAACATATTTCTTTTCATATATTTCAATAAATGTGCTAGATTCCTTTAAAAATAGATTTCTGTCTGAAAACTAAAAAGATAATTTTAAAAAGAAGGCAAAGAACTTGGAGGAACTCTCCATGGAGGAAAACCCATAGATCAGAAATTTCTGAAGCACAGATGGCTAATTACTCTCAAAGATTCTTCTCTTTGCAAAACAAAACATCTGAGTCTAACATGCAGCCAGAGCTCAACAAAGGCTGGCGGATAGGACATAGGACAGGAGAAGACCACCATGCCTCCAGGAGAGACTCCTGAGGGCGTGAAAGAGAATAACCATCTTCAGCATTGGGCCGAGATCAGGTCTCACTCCAGAGAGGAATCTGGAGCACAGGAAACAGCCTGGACATTTGAAATGAGGTGTTTTGTTGTTGTTGTATTTGTTTTTCTGTTCCATTTTGCCTAAGAGCCTTTTTCCCTGGGTTCCAGTTTAATCACTTCTGCATATTAGTCACACACATCCTAGGATATGAGAAAAGGAGCAAGGGCAGGACCTGTATGTTTCTAATTCAATGATGTGCTTTTCTTCCAAACTTGATCTGACTTGACTAATACAGGTTAACAGTTTGGGAATCCATCACTCAAAAGGATAATCTACATCTCCCCTGTCCAAACTCTTTACAAATCTAAAGTGACCGCGAGAGAAGAGGCTAAAGCATATCACCCTGCACCTGACCAAATCACTGTTGTCTAGGACTGCAGGTCACTTCCCCTTTCCTAGTTTATTCTCACTAGACACTGGGAATAGGGTTACCAGGTCTAGCAAATGAAATTACAGGATCCTCGGTTAAAGGTGACTTGCAGATAAACAACAAGTAATATTTTAGTGTTGGGTTCCAAAACTGTCAGAACAAGAAGCAATTCAAAAGAAATCAAAACAAGAAAATTTAAACTTATTTTAAATTTCCTTGATTTCTATAGAAAAGTTGGAAGATAAAGGTGAGAAACTCCATCAAAAAGTAGAATAACCCCGTTTGAGGGAAGCATCCAGGAGGCAGTGTGGAGAAGGGGTTTAAAGACCTGAATTTGTGCCGCTAGGCTTGTACGATCTACTGTTTGGCCCTGGATTGTGGACATGAGCTGCAGGCACCAGCCAGGCTTCCTGCCTGTGACCCATGGACGGTCAAGAGCCAGAGATTTTAACTGGTCTTGTTATTTCTCCTGGCACAGGCTGGTCAAGGACCAATGGCTGAGAGCAACCAAGAACAGGGTTCAGACATGAATGGGTTTTGCAACAATTGCAACTAGGCCATCAATCGCTGGTTTCCTAGGGCAGCCCCTCCATGTGAATTGCTTACTGCACAGGTTCACCCTTCCAGGTCCTGCAATCCAAAGCTCTGGACACAGAGCCCAGCAGTATTCAATGGTCGTGTAAAAAGCACAATAAAATTTGAAATGCGTGCCATGCAGAAAAAAAGAAGTGGA